ACAAGTCATGTATTTAGAGTTTAAGTGTTGTATATAGCAGTTCTGCCTCGACGAGACTTTATGAACATTTAAAAGAAAAATGTAAGTTAACATTTGGGATTTAATAAGTAGCACAGACAACATTCTGAAAGAATATGTGAGATGCCCAAGTTAGGAATCCAAGTCTCTTCTTTGGTAGAAAAAACAGGAACTACAGGCTTCTTCATCATTGGTTTTGAACTTTCTTGACTCCTCAGGTCAGGAGAGGGAAATTTCCACCTTTTGTTGGTGACGGGGGAAAGAAATTCAAAAATTCAGCCCAACCAAAACAGAGTGAAAAGTTTCAGCTTTGGGTTTAAGATGATTTATATTTCTGATGTGAAAAAAGCGTCGGACGAGAAGATCTTAATTTCAAACACAAGGGCTAACACTGAAAAAGTAATCAAACAGGGCCCCCACGCTAGGAGGAACTTGTGCACATGTGTGTAACAGTGTGGAGTAGTGGTTAGAGTTTGGTATTTGTGCCTGGAAGGATGGAGATTCAATTTTCAGATGAGATGCTGCTGTTGTACTCTTAAGTACTTCACCTGAAACCTGCCCAGCTTTATAAAAAGGTATAAATGTAACTTTGGTTAAAATAGCCAAATATGTTAGTAGACAAATGAGCCATGATATAAGAATTATGGTTGTCTTTCTCCTTGATGTTATTTATTGTTATACTGCAAATAATATTAATATATAATTTATAATTAAGATATAAATACAGTATTTCTATCTCCTTGTTGCTGCTCTTTTTTCTAATTTCTTGCCATTTTGCATTATTTTCTCACGTCTGACATACTCTGGGACATCAGCTGGGAGCATTTTTTTTATTTTTGGATTACTGTTCAAGAGAACCTGGCGCTGTTCAACGGACCAAAACGTTCTGAAACAGAGCATGAAATGGAGGGGAGAGGGAGCGCAGAAGTGGAAGAGGGTGAAGGATGAATATTAAAGCGCTTGATGTCGGTGGCTACACAGCAGTTGTCAAGGACTGAATAATTCACTCCTTAAAAGCTGGAAAGTGATGGTTTGGTTCAGTCATTAAGACCGGCCCCAGGCTGAGTAGTTATCAGGAACATTTTAGGTCTTGAACTCAAAATACCTGCTTTGCACTTTCTACAAACACTTTAGAAATTAAGTGAAACGTCTACCCCGGTATTCAGGGTGGCAGTGTAATGAGCTATAGATTCTAACCCAACTGTTGTGCTGCTGTACCTGGGGCAGATGTCCTTCAGCCCTGCAGTCGTGTAAGTGTATAGAAATGTCTAATGTGAAAGGACACACAGACCCCATGATTCTCATTGAAAAACACGCGAAACAACCTCTGCAAATAGCTTTAGGTAAATGTGTCATGCTAAATAAATTCATCATAATTAATAACACTCTTTCCCATTAATGCAACCCCAAGCTGGTAAGAGTCCACACAATCCCCACTCAGCCAATTCTGATAATCAGCTGCTTCTTGCAGTCGAAATTGAGGCTGTTATGGGCAAAACAGATGCAGTTGTCTTTCCTACTGAGATCCAGAAATACTGGACTGGTGTAAGGTCACTGTTATTAGGCATGTAGAAAGTGTTGAGCTGGATTTTATCAGCCTGACTGTGCCACTACGGTGCCTCACTGCATAATCTACGGTGGTAAATTTGTACTTTTTCCCTCCATTTTGAAGCACTCTCCAGCTGTGTGTTTCTTTGTAAAGAAATGTGTTCTTCTTTGATTACCCAAAATTCGGTTCCACTGTCTTCATTGTGCTTTTACCAAGGTATTGCAATAAATGCACTAATCAAGAATTTGCTTTTGATTCCACTGTTTTCTCAACACACCTGGTGACCCTCAGAGCTTTTTTTTTTTAAAGCTGCATACCCTGGGCTGGGGACTGAGAGAGAAAATTCGTCGTTGAGTCTTTACTGCCTGGACACGTTCCGCGTTTTTCTGGGTGACACCCCACAATGCAAGGGCCCTTAGGAGACAGGATAGACTGGGCCCAGAGGTCGGGAGTCAGCCGAACTGAAGAGGGCCATCTCACGTGGCTCTTTCCTGCGGACAGCAGGGAGACTGTCACGTGTCGGAAAGCAGGGGGAGGAGGCCATGAGAAAAAGTCCTTTAACGCCCTAGACAATGATAGCCTCGTCTCCTCTCCCATCGACCTGCACCTCTGCCTTCGGCCCCAGGAGAGACTCTGACTTTCAGCGTGATTTATGACCAGCTGGCTGCTCAAGGTGACCTTCAGGGAAAAATGGTTCGGACCTTCCAGGAAAGATAAGGCGCCCGCACTCAAAAATACTGGAGTAAAAAGCCGACAAATCGACTTCACCCCTTCACAGCCTCCCTTTTAGCTGCCATCAGACATCGGAACAAGTCACCTGACAGCAGCGGATTGGAGCAGCCCCAGTACAGCTGATGCCCTTGTCTAAAGTTTACAGTGGCGGATTTTCAAGGTTGGTTTTTTCCTGGATTCTTTAACTCCGAAGTGTCCTTCGTTTTGCCTTTTACAAGGAGCAGCGGAGGAAATGGCTAGCCCATTGGAAGGCTGGGATTTAAGGCGACAGCTTTGCTCCCAGTGGGAAAACAAGGAAAGAAGTGGGCTTAGTCAGGGCGTCCACCTTAAATCCCTCTGCTGCAGCACGTTACACTCATGTGTCTTGTTGATTCTGCATACAAATTCAAATAACGAACCTGCGCTTTCCCTACATTTACATGGCTCTGACTGTGACTCTGTAGAACTTTGCCATGTTCTACATTGCACTGGAGCAGAGTGGTGGCACTGTGGCTAAGGATCTGTGTGTGTAGCTGGAAGGTTGCTGGTTCAAATCCTGTGGCTGGCAGAGGAATCCTACTCCCTTGGGCCTTTGAGCAAGGCCCTTAACCCCAAATGCTCCAGGGTATAATGGCTGACCCTGTGCTCTGACCCCCAGCTTCTCTCCCTGTCTGTGTGTCTCATGGAGAGCAAGCTGGGGTATGTGAAAAGACAAATTTCTAATGCAAGAAATTGTGTATGGCCTCTCTTGTACCAGACTGGCTGGTGTGTCTGCAGGTTCTCAAAGGCTCTTCAAAGCACCAGACCCTGAAGTGCTGGGAGAAGCTTGGGTTCGAGTGTGCAGCTGAGTTGGGCTGTGGGTTAAACAGGGTGTTTTCTCTTTCTGTTTTCCTCTACTTCTTCCTTAGGAAGTTGATTAAAGTCATTGACACGAGAGCTGGAATGAAAACCAGCAGACAAACGGGCACTGAAGATCAGGGCTGGACCTCCCTAGACTACATTTTGCCATTACAAATATTAAACAAGAGGTGTTACTCAGCTCTTAAAGCCCTTAAAACCCTTAAAGCGTAAGCTATTGTAAATGATGGCAACGGCCATGAAATGAGGCCAGTACTACAGAAGAATACAGTAACGAAAAGATACATTAGCGGAAAATGTGAATTCTATGGGAAACAATCATTAAGCCAAGACTTCTCACATACAGCCTTTCTGTCCTTCGTCAAACAAGAAACACTTCCTTCCTCTTCCTTTTTCCCATCTTTCCCTTCTTCCTCCCGCGTTAATCTTGCTGGGGACCTTACCTGCCCTTCTCTGTTCCTGCCCGAGCTGCCAAACAAGCATTTCTGACCAACCACCTCCATGTTCCTGAGCTGAGTGTTTATCCACATGTTGCCCAGAACATCCATTCTTTCACCCGAAGATGGACTGTGGAAGATTTAAAGACTTGGAAGGCCTCTTCTGATCTAACAGATCCTGTAAGCCCTCGAGATTCTGGAAAGTCATTCATGGCTCTCGTTGACGAACAGTGGATTCCTGTCAACAGGGATGAAGACGAGAGAGATGATTCAGTGGATGTAGATCAGGCAGGATTTCCGATGGATCAATACAGTCGATGTGGTAAGCCAGTGTGCTCCCTCAAGCTCATTTATTCCAGCGGCAGTCTGTCTTAAGCTGTTGATTTGGGCTGTACCTTGACGCCAGATCGAAGAGAAAGCACATACAGTCAGACAGCACTCGATTCGCCCTGAACACACAGCAATGGGACGGACAGGAAATACAACTGCAAAGACATGTTTGCCAGCAATCCTAGATCATTCATGGCAGTTCAAACAAAAATACACAGACCTAAAACAGAATTAGTGGGGGTATTAATTGGCCCAATTGGATGAGATAAGGTGGATCTTTTGATTTCATTTTAGGTATTTTTTTACAACCTCCCACGAAGCAGAGCAGCTTGAATGGAATCTGCAAGGTTCTGAAATGTCGGCAGCCCACACTAGTCAAATTACTTCTGTAATGTGGAATGTCTGTAGTAGGGGTTGTGATGAGGGTTCGAGACTGAATTGCGCTTTGCCTCGGTTCCTTCGGTATTCCCATAGGACTGAGATCTGGCGACAGCTCTAGCCAAGGAAAGAGATACAAGTTTCCTCTTATATAGCTCGGGGCTGTCACATCATCCCTACTGCTGAGACAGTCCATTCACTTGACACATTAGTCCACAGTCATCGAGGCAATAGTGGGCCAGGATGGCTTGACTAGCATGGGTGTGGTGGGTGATTTGGGTAGCACCTGACTGCTACACAAAGTTTCCCCATCACAGAGACAGGTTCCTGAGGCCCTTGCCTTTGGTTTTCAGCCCACAGGAGGACAGTTCACCCCAACTGGGAAATTGAATAACGGGGAACAGAGGAAAGAGGGAATCTCCGCTCAGTCGTAGCCTTGCAGTCCACTGGAAACAGAGATCTTACAGGTCAGAGTTCCCTTCCTAGGGCACAAAACTGGCACAACAAATAAGAGTTTTTCTTCAATGAGCCAGGGAGGGGAAGCACCAGTGTGGGATTCTTTCTTTTTTTCAATTAAACAAGACGATTCAAGCCTCAGGTTTATACACCCGCTCCAAACCGTATAATTAGTTCAAGCGATGAAGGTCAAAGCGGAAAGGAAAAGCAGAGAGCCCTGTGCCTTAGAAAGACTGGAGGGAGATACGGAGTGCTGGTGTTCAACTCTCTCCTTCTCTCCCTGCTCATATGCTCACGAAAACATCGACACACCGAAGCCGGTGGCGTTTCAACAGAAAGCGCCGTGCGCTCCAGCGGAGACCGTCCCCGGCGCTAGGACCCGGCGCTAGGAGCCATTGCCGGGAGGTGGAGACCGTGAGCCAGACAATGGAAGAGGGAACAGGAATGAAAACGCGATGAATGAAAATCCGAATCGCAGAACAACACGGGGATTAACAACAAAGCACCGCGGCTACTGGGGAGACTAACAGGGAGAGAGAAAAACACTGCCCGACCACAAGGAGCTGGGGAGGAAAGGGGAAAATTGAGAAAACTGTGATTTTAACAGAGCACGGATCGCAGTTGACATGAATGACCAGAGCGTCCGTGAATTAGTTTGTTCGTTGACCTTCCTGAATTAAAACAACAACAACAGCAGCAGCAACAACATATATTATCGTTGTTATTCTGCCACCGCCGCGCATTCATTGAAACTGAGCGAATGCACACTGTGACGGGGACCTGGGCGGCCGAGGTGGTGACAGCGAGTGACCCCAGCGCAGAGCAGGCGAGGTGAAGGCAGGGGCTACACCGGGTCGCCAGGAGGCTGGGCTGCCGGAGCCCTGCTCGACGGGCTGACAGCTCCTCTCCGCCACGGTGCTGGGAAGGGGTTCGAGCACCGCCCGAGAAGGGGATCGGGGCGGGAAGGTAGCAGTCCCGGTCCATGAGCGAGCTGGGGGCAGCCTGGCACACCTGCGATTGGACCCGCCACACCAACCCCCCAGTCCAGCCAGACCGCCGGGGCAAGTGGGGTGGTGCACTTCAGAGAAGAGAGACCCTTCGTGGAACAACCTTCATGAACACCGATGTCAACCTGTCTTCACGCCTCTGACATGACAGTCAAGGCTGCCGAAAAGTATTAATAATACGCATCAATCAATGCAAGTGCATCTTACAGTATAGTGGTGGTCGAAGATTTGGTTTTGCATCCTTTGCTGTTTGTAAACGGGACTCGACCTATTGAAATATTTTGTTTTGGGGGGAGTGGAGGACTCGGTAACACTGCTACGGTCGGAGACTCCAGTAGGTCGCTCGTTGAAGAGCTGTGCTCGCGTCCGCGTTATTGCCGGGAACTGAAGCGTCAATCCGGGAGCTCCGGGCACAGCGCTCAAGGAGGTGCGCTCACAGCGGCGGCGTGGATGCAGGACCATGGGGGAGAGAGACAGGTCGCCGGCAGGTGAGCGAGATGGGATGCCAGTGGCGACCCTTTGCCGTCTTATCGCTGAGAGCTGTTTAAACCTCTGATCTGTGCGTGCTTTCCACATGCTGTGCTCTCAACCACCCTCAAAACTGCCTTTTAAACTGTCAGATCTAAATAAGAAAAAAAAAACCCGAATTATACCGTTAAGATTATTTAGCATTACAGCCTCTGATCTTCAAAATGCACGTATTTGTACCTTTTGAGAAATCCATACATAACCCCGTTACAAACAAAGGACGTTTCCTGGTTCTTACTCATCTATAACGACCGTTCAGCCAATTTGGTTACGCCGAAGAATTGTAAGTACACGTCGAGTTAAGACGTCCGCGGGGAATTTCAGCAGCCGGCCCCTTCCCGCTGCTGTAAGGTGACTCCCTCGAACCCCGGTTCATCCCTCCTCCGGGGCAAACTGGGCTAGCCCTCTCCGCGCTGGCTGACAAGTGAGGGCCGCCCAGCGGTTACCTCAAGCTTTACCGGGAAAGCGAGAGCGCTCCGTCTGAGCGGTCCATGCCTACTAGCTCATTAAAGCGCACAGACCCCTCCGCCTTACCGGCTCTGCCTGCAGATCGCAGCCGCTGTGCCCTGCAAGTCATTACGCGGAGCTGCAGAGCCTTCAGTGCGCGCTCGAGGTAAACCTGCATTCAGACACACGGACGTGAAATTATAGTTGAACACACGCACACACGAGCTTCTAGAAATATACGTGTTTAATTTTCCGCTTGGGAAGTCCAATTTATCTATCCCAAGGAAGTTAGAAAACCTCGAGACGTGGAAGTTTGCGAGGAAAGTGCCGAGGCAGAAACTGGGTTGAAAGTCGACAGCGGGGCGGCGTGCGAGCGAGGAGTCGTGGGAGATGGGCGTTTGAAGACGAGAAAGTGCAAAGACAACTGAATTCCGAGAGGGAAGGGGTTGATAAGACAGAAGCACAGGCTTCCGTGTTTGAACGGGGCTCAGCAGACAGTGTATATCAGCGGGGCTAATATGAACAACTGCTAAAATAGGACAGCTGGCTAACAGCTGAGAAGTGTTCAGGTGTTACACTGATGCTGAAGTTTTTTTTTCTGTTGAAGACTTCGACCTGCCATATCGATTTTGTCCTCTATAAAGCCGCAGAAGGATTCAACCGCGGCGCCGTGCTTGCAGGTGTCCTATTTTAAATCGATTTGTGCAGTTCGGTGCAATTTGGCAACTGCGGTTGACTGGCTTTTAAAACGCAGCTGCAGTTTTGTTTGTTTTTTCTTCTGTTTCTGAAGGGCCTAATGTTGTTTGAAATGCAGTTCAGATATTTAAAAACACAGCTATAGCACATGTACCCTGGTCTTGTTGGATTTCAGAAGTTAGGGGAGCCTGGATCTAGACAATCCTGAGATGGGAGAATCATCCGACCATTTTCTAATTACTTAATCCAGTTCGGGATCGCGGGCAGGTGGGAGATCTTTATGGAATGCCAGGTTACTGTTGCAGTGGTGCTTGTGGACCAGTAGGTGGCTCTCTTTTCCGTGGACCAGATTTTCCAGTCTAACACTGCAATATTTTGTCTGGGAAACGCTATGCTGTCTAGTACAGTAAGGACAACCCTTAATTTCTCCCTTAATTCAGGTGAAGCAATTCCTCACTTCACAAAGAATACGGAAAAAACTAAATGTAGCTGTAAGTGTTGGATGCTTTGCATGGAGAGTAGTGCCCAACAGAAGGTGCACCATTACCATCACTCCACTAGGGGGCGATTAGCAGAAATGAATAAATAACAGCGCGGTTACTCACATGTAGTACAAGAAACAGGAGGTTCATTGAGGTCAGCCTATAGTGGGGACATCTCAAGAACATCTGTGCAGCTGGCTCACTACAGTTATAGGTTCTTCCTAGCGCTTTAAGTCCGAAGCTGCTTTCTGTAAGTGCAGGTGATGGGAATTTGTAAGTTAGTTGTAGAGAAGAGATGACAACCGCCCCCTGTCTACTTAATAAAGGCCAGATATGAAGAGGGGTTTGAGGGCCTTTGTCTCATTTTCTTTTTCGACTCCTTGAAATCCTTGTCTAACAATCCATTTCCGGCCTCTCAATGCGCCCAGTCGGCACCTCACCCTCCGGCCTGTCTCCACCCTCCTGGAAACACCTGCCCAGAGGAAACACTCGAAACGCCCCAGAGGAGTGCTCCCGAACCTGCTCGAGCAGAAGCGCGTGCCTCCGTGCAAGATTTGCCATTTGGCAGTCGGACTGGAGCACAGATGGGAAACAACAGAGCGTGCTCCATGTGTCACACTGCGCTCACAATGTCTGGCCCCTTTCCCCATTAGCATAAAAATGAATGGCTGGATCAAAAAGACCTCTAAATGCTTTCTGAAGTGTAGCTCCTTTGTATGGGACAGCACTTTCAGCCGTGCCGGTACAGAAATGTAATTTACTACAGAAACCACTCAGACGGCACTACAGAAGCTGCTAAAGTCCGTACCAGTGTTAGTCATCTCTTTAATTCAGAGTGCTGCTTTGTTGCATCTTAATGGGCTGTTTTCAGTACTTTATACTAATGCCTGGGAGACAGTGAAGCCATCGATGGCTGGAATAACGGACGTGTGCCAGCAAAGGGTTGAGCTATCCTCTAAAAGCGGTACTTTAGTACGAGGAGAGGCAGGAAGGAGGCTCCCTTTGGGCTTGTCCTACGCATTCTGTTGCTTGTACCGTAGTGCTTCTATGTGACAATCTCACACCTCCTGTTTCCTGAAGCGTCTTGATGTGCCAAAAACCAGGAGAGAACAGTAATGGCAGGCTGCTGGTGTTCAGCAGGTATATTAAGCATGAGCCAAGACGGCTTGTGTAGAAAGGCCAAGCCAAACCATTGTTAACATTTCAGAAATGCTGAATAGAGGAGGCATCGTTGCTCACGCCTCTGAACAGCTGAACCCTTTTACAGGTTTTTTAAATCAAAAACCATTTTCTCTTTCATGTTCATGTTTCGCTTGGTTCTCTTGCCTTTCAAAGCAAAAATATAATGATCATTAATAATTGCTGACACTTATATAGCACGTTTCTGGACACTCCACTCAGAGCGCTTTACAGGTAATGGGGATCCCCTCCACCACCACCAGTGTGCAGCCCCACCTGGATGATGCGACGGCAGCCATAGTGCGCCAGAACGCTCACCACACATCAGCTATCAGTGGGGAGGATGACAGAGTGATGAAGCCAGTTCAGAGATGGGGATTATTAGGAGGCCATGATTGGTAAAGGCCACACCCCTGCTCTTTTTCGAGAAACGCCCTGGGATTTTTAATGACCACAGAGAGTCAGGACCTCGGTTTCACATCTCATCCAAAGGACGGCACCTGTTTACAGTATAGTGTCCCCATCACTATCCTGGGGCATTAGGACCCACACAGACCGCAGGGTGAGCGCCCCCTGCTGGCCCCACTATCACATCTTCCAGCAGCAACCTTGGTTTTCCACAGGAGGTCTCCCTTCCAGGTACTGACCAGGCTCACAGCTGCTGAGCTTCAGTGGGCTGCCAGCTGGGAGTTGCAGGGTGATGTGGCTGCTGGCCAAAAACCTTTTCACTCGCTGTCTTGTTGACGCAGGTAACCCCCCTCAAAATAGAGTCTGTCCCTTGACTCAGCGGTTACCTGTCGGTCCTCCGATCGCTACAGTTCTCAAGTAGATAACTTTCACGTCATCCCTTCAAGGGCAGGGTGCCGTCTCGCTAAGTTTCCTTCTCTCCTGCAGCAGGCTTTTCGCTAAGTGCAGACAATCCAGTAATGAAATAAGTACAGGGCAGGGCGGAACATTTCAAACAAACTGCACAGTAAATTAAACACAATAACCAGCGGAGAAGCCATTAATTATTAACATGAGGGCAGAGCTGGAAGACTGAAGCAGGTCTTTTAATAAATAGGCAGACAGAGAGCAAAGAGCGTTCATGGCTTTAGTGGGTGACACAGCTACATGGGAGGAGAGTTTTATTTATCGCTGATGCCAGAATCAGGAGTTAAATGTCCTGTGGTGTTATTGTATGTCAGCTATCTAAGCATGGGGTGTAAACTGTGAACTTCTGTTGACTGTCAATAGGGGAAAAAGCCAAGCTTCCTGTAGACTTCAGACAAGGTATGTTGGTGAGTGGCCCAAGTAAAATATTAGCAGAAACTGCATTGTTCCTGGCCAGAATTCATCATTCAATCCTAAAAATGGTGGTCTGGAAGATTGCAATGGAAGACGTCCATCGCACAGCAGCTTAATCCCTTTTCCAGGTTTACCAGCTCACTCGACAGGTAGGTAATGTCTGTGGAGCCAGAGCTTGTCCTGGTTGCCGTGGCGTTAAGAAAACAGCGAGGGCTCACTTTACCAGATGGAGCAGAAAGGCAAACTCTGTAGCCTTCACACTGGTCTATGCAAAACTATCATTTTACTGCTCTCCCTAGATAAACCAGCAGGCCGCAGAAACGAAACTGTACTTATAACCAGACGTTCATTTCTGTTTGTTTTGACAGTAGGGTTTTTACAGTCTGCAGTCCATTAACTCCTGGATCATATGCAGGTCAGCTGGCTCTAATAGATAAATGTTAACTTCCCTCTTGCTTCTGTTTCTTCTAAAATGGAATAGCTGGATTTAAGAACTCAAATTCAAAGCTCCTTATCAGTGGTGATTTTAAGCTGGCTTTGCTAAAAATCACAATAGGATCATTTACATCTGCTCTGATTAATGTACAAACAATGCTGAGTGTACACTCTTCACTTGAGTGAGAATTCGTTTCATATTTCTCTACTCTCACAGATGCAGAGGGGTGCTTATGATAACAGCTTATAGATGATACTTTCGCTTCTTCTAAGAAACAGCTGGTTGAGATCCTAGGATCAGTTTACTACTAACTACCAAATGTGCTAGATGACCAGAAATGCTTCCTCTCATTTGAAGCCTTTTTATGTTCTTGTAGTCTTATGACAGGCTCGAAGTTATCATAGGCTGCAGTAAAGTCTTTTTTTTTCTTCAC